AGCCTGGTGCCCAGGGCGCTCGGCCCGCGGGACGGCTCAGCGCAGCCGCCTCCAGAGAGCTCACCCTGCACTTATCCTCAAACCATGCATAACGTCTCGCTGAGCTGAAACGTCCATTTATTTAACAGCAGTAATAATTTAAAATTATAAAAACCCTTTCAGTGTCGAATATCAGAAGGGCGAGGTTACAAAGAAAAATAAATGGGACTTGAGCTGGGGAAGGGAAGGGTGACGGGGTCTGTTTCAAGAGTTTATGTTTCCAGTGACAGCATTGGCCCTGCCCAGCCGGAGACCCTGGGAGGGAGGCAGTGTCATTACGCTCGCATTTTGAAGACTTCAACCTCCAAAGCAGAAGAGATGGTATCCAAGGGGAGGAGGAGGAGCAGAAGAACGAGAGAAAGGAATCTCACACTCAAACCCATACAAACAACCTTTCCATTCAGAATCGCAACCGCTAGCTCAGCGCCTCGGCTTTCCCAGCCGCGGGGCGCAGCAGCCTTTCACTGCAAGGGTTCAAAGTGCACACGGCTGAGGGATGATTTTATTAACAGACAGCTCTCTCCCCCCGTCACAGAACTTGAGGCTTCTCATCTCTGAAGGACCCAGAGTCTCAAAAGGGAATTGTGGGGGCTGCTTCCCCCTCGCTCCCCTCCCCTCGCTCTGCCCTGGGAGCCCCTGTCGCTGCTTACGGTGGCTGGGGAGGGAGGAAGGACAATGACAGGGCCCCAGGGACAGGGGGTAGGATTAAGATTCATGAGTTGTTCGATGAGTTTTCGTTACTTGGCGAGCTGGAGGAAGAGGAGGAGGAGGATGATGAGAAGTTCATCCCCGTGAGTCCTGGGGGGTTTGTGGCAGTGTTTTGTCCGCTTAAGCTTTTCCGGCACACAGGACACGTGTCATGCTTTGGAGAGCAGAAATAAAACAAGAAATACGGGAGACAGGATTAGAACACCGAGACAGGAGCAGCACTCGAGGCAAGGGCTAGGATGACACTCCTTCCGCCGGCCAAGGCTGCTCACGCTCGGGCCTTGTCACGGAGCTACGGAAATACTGGCAGGGGAGAACAGCACCACCAGAAAGCACCCCCGAGCGCTACGGAACCCAGGTCGCCCGCTCCGCTGGCACTAACCTGTTCCAGCCAAGGGACTATACAGCTGTTGTGGAACAGGTGATTGCAAGGTAACTGCCGGACGTTTTCCCCGACTGTATAGTCGTCTTTACACACGGGACACTCTAACCCAGAATCTGTGTCATAAGGGGAAAGCAAATCACAGCAAAGCAATGCAGGAGAGAACGACACTCCGAGCACCGGGCGCGGGATCCCACCCCGCTTCTCCCCTGCCCCGCGGAGAGGAAAGCCTGCTGCCTTGCAGCTCCTCCCACCACCACTCCACCTCTCGCTGCCCTGGGTTTGCTTCAGCGCTCCCTTCCCTGCTGCTTTTTCATCTCTATCCACACTGAACTTTTCAGAACAGCTTGCCTCTCCAGGGCAAATCCATCCAGTCTACACCGCTCTTTTGTGTGTGTGTGTAGAACAGAGCAATGCTTCAGCTTTCTCCCCTCTCTGAAATGTTTTAGGCCTTGAAGGTACTAGCAGACAAAATTAAACTCCCAGGAAAACATCAAACAGAACTTTCACAGAGCTCTTTGCGAACGGTTCCCTGGAGGAGATACACGTACCTACGTGCTCCTGCGCGATCTGTACGGTGGGGAGGGCCTGGATCTTCTCTTTGTCTGCTGGAGGCGGTCCAGTGTTTTCAAACTGATTTAGTAACTGAAAAAACAACAGGCCGCAGAAGGAAGACGTGAGCTCAGCAGCACGCAGAACGTGTTCATCTATCGAACCCTGCGCCGCCTGCGCTGCAGACCTGCTCTCCCACTTCTGCGTCACAACAGCTGCCCACAATCTTACAGCACTGCCCAGCAGGACGGGAGACTCCGTTATAACGCCAGTTTTACCTGTGTAATAATTGCATCCAAGCCATTGGCACCCCATGCGTAGTCCATTGGATTCGAATGCAAGACTCCCCTGTAAGAATAAGGGCAAGAATTAAACCCAGCTGGGAGTCCAAACAAGGACACTGCCAGAAAGAGCGGCACATCCTCCAACTCACCAGGGACCTAGTCCGAGGTTTGGTATCGTTGTAGGTGCAATAATTCCATTGACCAGCTGCTGGATAATTCTGAAAGAAAAGAAAACCAGCATTACGTAAGCATCAGTGTCTGCTAGCTCCCAGCCCAGGAACCTGACGTGGAAGGACTGGCTAAACACTGTCACACCACCGGCGGGAAAGGAAAAAAATCCTGTAGCAGTTGCATCTTCCAAACTGATTGTTTTCTCTCGTTTCCCCTCACACCGAGTACAAGGTTTTGGTAATGGCCAGGGAATGCTTTCTCACTGCAGGTTTAACGGTCCAAACTCCAGCCACGCTGCGGTCCGCGCCGCTCTGCCCCGGTGAAATGGCACCCACAAACTCTCGGCAAGAGCTGGCCCGCGGCCGCAGCCCGGCTGAAGGCCGAGCACCCAGCAGCGCCAGCTCGCAGGGGCAAAGCCCAGCAGCGCCCAGCTCGGGAGCAGCCTTTAGGAGACTGCTGCTCAACCTGATGAGCACGAGGGACGGGCGGATCTTCAGCTACCTCTCATCAGTGAAAAATGACGGGGCTTCCTCCGCGAGAAGCTGGCTGCTGTTCTCACCCTTCTAGCGTGGGAACTCCCTCGTGCCTGCCAGAGGCACGGCGTGTGGCGAGACGGGCCCGGGGCTGCCTCGCGCCGTATCGATGCCGAGACTGATGCTCTCGCTCCCTCCGGTTCTCGGAGTCCCTGTTGTCTTCCGACTGCACATTGGACCCGAATGGAAACTCAAAGCTGTCATCGAAGATCCCGAAGGCAAACTGGCCGTAGCCCTGTGGCAAGGTGAATAAGTGCTGATCGACGTTCTGGAGGGAGAGAATTCAGGGAACAGATTGTGACGGGAGAGGAAGCAGCTCTTCGCTCTCACGCCTGGTATTTCACCAGCCTTCCAACGCAGACGAGTCTCTTCGGATCCCCAGCGACTCGCCAGCCGTGGCTGGCACAGGTGGATCAGCGCGCTCTCAGAGGCCGCTCGGTGAGGAACAGACGCAGACCGACGCTACACACGAAGGTAAGGAAGAAGCACAACTTCCCCGCTTTCTCTTCAGCTGCTGCATGCAACTGCTGCCTTTTAAGCTGAGGCTACTGCATAGCAACACACCCAGGCAGCTCACCAAATCCCAGCTTAGCCCCCTCACAACAAGAATAAGCTACAAGTGACGGTCCTATCTAAAACAGGCAGTAAAAATACGACATGCAGAGACTTCAGGAGGAGCGTGTGGATGGTATTAGTACCTCCTTTCCTAAATTCTGTCATAATCCAGGGCACATTTAAACAATGTACTAGTGAAAAAGCACTGCGATTCAATGGCAAAGCAGGAAGTGTTGGAAGACAGACAGAAAGGGCTTATTCACCTCAAAAGGATGCCTGCTCTGATCGCTGGTTGACGTAGAGGAGCTGGTCTCACTGTCAGCGTTCCTGTGAAGAGCGAAGAGCACTGGTAAGCCTCAGAACGGTGCTACAAAAAGCTTTTCCCAGCAGAGCAGAGCAAGGGACGTGAGTCTGACAGGGAAAGCAGCCACCACAGCTGCTCGGCAGCAGCACACGGAAAGCGATCGATTCATTTTTGTGCCGAGGCAGAGCTCGAAGGGACCTCGGAGGTCTGCCCACCTTCCCGTCCACCCCGGGGCAGGGTCAGCGCATCACAGGACCTAGTCTGCCCTCCTTCTTCTCTAATCACCCACATCAATTTTCATTCATCCCTCCCTGCAACCTTGGTTCTCCCGCATCTTCACCCATCTCTCGCCACCCTTTTAGGTTCTGATTTCATGAAGCTACACAGAAGTGACCAACCACGACGTCAAGCAAGGATTCCCTGCACAATGCACCTCAAACAAATCAGCTAATCCTCTGGAGCACCAGGAAGAGAAGACTTACGGTACAAACCCTGATCGCTGTGACCCAAACATGCTTAAGTCTAATCTTGAATCAAAGGAACTTCTCTATTGCAGAGGCATGTGACCACACGGGACAGATCATTAGGAAAACTCTTCATGCTGTCAGGCTTCTGCTTTTAGCGAGCTGCAGGAACATTTACAGCTCAGTAGCCAGGTCTATGCTTTGACATTCACGGTAAACAAAAACCTAAGGTTCAGCGATTACGTGACTCTCCCAAGGTCACAGCAAATCACCAATACAGTTCGGATTAGCCAGGACTGATTTTCAGCCTCTCAGGTTGGTGTAGTCCGACCAAACGTCGCCTTGTCAGCACAGAAACCTCAGTCTGTGAAGACCACCTCTCTCCGCGGGCAGCAACGCGTGTCTGGCACAGCCCTGTGCCCTCAGCGTGCCCTGGCACCGAAGCCTGCCCGCACGCTGCCTGCCCCGGAGCCCGTCACAGCCAGGGTCCGGCAAACGCATCAGAAACATTTTAAGACATTTCTTCCACTCTTGCCCATTCCAGCACTGCCACAGAGCAGTCCCACCACCGAGTCAGCAGTCAAGCACGTGAATGCAGATCTCGGCTGCTCCAGTACAGAGTACAAAGTCTTGGTCAAAATGCTTCACCAATAGTACTCTAAACGAAGTTATTAAATTATACACTGAAGCAGATACACTCTCCATTCCACAGATTCCTTTCTCAGAGGCTTATCTCTACCCTGATGACTCCAACCAGTTCACAGCTGTCACATGCCATGGGGAAAGCCTCTCTACCACTTTTTTTTGTTTGTTTGTATTAAAATCAACCCATTCCTCCCCCACGCTTCACCAGCAACATATGACACCCAGCACTCCCATGGCTGATTTACCTGTAGATGCAAATTAAGCACTGTATACCCAGAGTGAGGAAAGATGAGCCAAACATTGGGCACAAGTAATAAAACCGGTGTATTTAGTATACAGCGTTGCCTTTTAACTAGAAAAAGGGGAAAGAGCAGTGCAGACTGAGTTCATTCCAGCAACAGCCTCTGGGGCAGCACATTACCTTGGCTCTTCAGGAAGTTCTTCAATAAAACCAGATTCACACCGTGGGCAAATATAGTCCTACGGGAGAAGAAATACTGAATGAGAAAAGCAAGTGGTAAATAAAAGCTGCCAAGAGTGCCTTCAGTGTGATGGGGTGGAAGAGGAGAGTCCTGCAGCCCATCATCCCAAACACATGGCATGATTACAGAGCCAAAAGGACCCCAAAACACTGATATCTGCCTTCACCAGGCTAGCGAGGCAAACTGCTAAGCCTGAGCCTGTTTGCAACTTGGCTTTAGAAAAGATTTGGATAGCACTAATTAATCCCCCCGTACAGACAAAGCATTAGATAACATCTGATGTAGTTCTGGGTGAAGTGAAAGCAAAACCACTGGCCTTCCCAGAAGAGCAGCACTCACGCATTCGCTTTTAAATAGCTGCGTGTTTTGGGGGCCTACCCCACCCCCTCAAGGGGCCAAACTGCCCCAGTGAAAGAATCCAGGAGGGCATTGCAGCCCGGGCTCATTACAGCGTCACCGCTGAATGGAAAGCCATTGCTAACGTGGCCCGGGGTTCACACCACGCGGAGGTCAAGGAGACACAAGAGGGTCATTCTGCAGCGCACAATGCCAGCGTTCGACAGTCCCACGCTCAGCACAGAGAGCTGCTGCCACCCTCACAGCATTTAACGCTGAAGACGGAATATGTCGGAAGAAACGGCCTGTGTGCGCAGGAGAAGGGCTCCTCAAGAGTCTGCAGCCGTCACCTTTCCTCACAATTCCTAGCGTTAGCGGAGAGCTTACACTTCACAACCACACTGTCGTAGCGAGCAGCGGCCCAGGACGCTTAAGATCCTGAAAGGAAATTACTTCACTTTTCAGCGCTCGAGAAGAAGCGGCACCGCCGAGTCAGCAGAGGAAGCGACAGGCCCCGCACCTAACCCCAACCAGGCCGAGGTGGAACAGCCGCCGGCGGCGAACGTAACCACTCAGCACCCCGCGCTGGCACAGCCCCGCTCAGCACGTGAGAAGTTTAAGGGCTTCTAAAAATAACGCTGCTTCCCTTTACTACTGCTACGTTCGACTTGGCACAGGCCCTTAAACAAAGTCAATGGACGCCCCAACAGAGGAGAGGATGCCAGCCGCGTGGGTTTGCTCTGATAAGACATCTGGGATCGCTCCTCCAGCCGCCGCGGAAACACCTGATCAGGCGCAGGCAGAAGGCGGCAACGGCAGCGACCACGCAACGCTGCCCTGCCTGCCCGGCACGATAAGGAAGCAGCAAACACCAGGACCTAGAAGGAGACTCGGAGAAGTCGCTGCTCCCCCTTCTGCGCGGGACTCTTCAGATTTGCAATTGTGAAATAACCGCGTCTACGCAGTTTACACAACGTTTGATTTCAAGAACTTTTCTACACCACCCAAGTTCTTCCCAGAGTTGGTTACGGCACACGGGAGCTCCTGTGTCAGTCACGGAACACCAGATCAACTGCCTCTGCCTTTGAAACCCCCCCCTCCCTGTTTCATTTTCCACTGGGACGCCACTGGGGTAACAAGCACGGCGGCCACTCGAGAGCAGTGAGCAGCCTGCTCCTCTCAACTCTCCGCTCTAAGGGCGGCTTTTTGTGCGCGTGCCTGCAGACAGCTCTGAACACAGCGATCAGCAAATTCCTCCGCAGCTGGAACAGCACAAATGTCACAGTTTGTTGTTTCTCAGGCTGCCTGAATCACTCCGCTGCATGTGCTACGGCATCTGCAGAGCTCGGTCTGCAAACAGCGAGTGAAACCGAGTGAACTCGGACCCCCCAAACGAGTTCATTAACTAGCAATTAACTAGGCCTGAATCAACAAGAGCAGGTGTCCGCTCCCTACCACAGCTCAGCACGTGCACGGCCAGATGTGCTCTGCTGGCACGAGCCCAACACAGGGTGTTCAAACAGAAAGAAGCAGCCAGCATTTCTTGGCCACAACCTTCAGCTCCCGAGCCACCTTCCCCAGCCGGTCTCCGTACTCAGCAGGAGCGTTATGGAGAGTTTTGTACTTGCACCTACACACAGGCTGCGAGATTCACCGCAAGGCCCACCCTCGCTCGACCAGTAAGACCGATGGAGAGGGGGAAAGGACAAAGAGCGTGTCACAAAACCAAGCTGACGGCAAAGCCCACCCAACCATGGCAGCGAGACACCTATGCTCGCAACCAAGCTACTGGGTGACTTGAAATTCAACAAACTTTAGCAAAAAACACTGCCTTATTCTGACGAGACGCGGTGAAAAGCTTCAGGACAAACAGCGCCTGGCAGGATCCCCCGCATCGGATTTGAGATCTCGCAGCGCCTGGCAGG